GTTCTCTAGACTCAGTTCCTCTACTGAAGTTCCTGTTGAGTGGCAACCGAATGTGTGCAGGCTCTTGCATTGCTTTGAAAGATCATTGGCAGTTTGAAATTACAGCAAAGTGACAACACAAGAAGAGATTAAGCTTCCAGTACAGTTTGTCTTGTAGAGAAAGGGGATAAGAATGTTTATTTCTATCCCCTGGCAAATTAAGTTCCTTGAGTGTTACTTTAGCTTTTAAGTCCTTCCTTAGCAGAAGTGTAGGGTGGGAAGGAGGGACACAAAGAGGACAGGACATGTTGTTGCACGGCGCAATGAAATAGCTTGAAATGTTTGCACTAAACCGGTTTGGATTAAAAACGCTATAACCAAGGAAACATTTTTACTATTCTTTTTATTGAAAAAACAACAACCTTTGCAGTGTTTTCCTCTTTTGGAAAAAAAATATTACATGACTGAAACAGGGAAGAAGGAGAAATATAAGGTTATGCAATTTATTAGGGTCATGACAGTTGAAAAACCAGTTCTTTCAACATTCAGGGTGGTTTTGCGTTTTTTTGCTATCGAGTAAAATATTTCCTTCACCATGCCTTCACACTATTTGAAATGTCCTTTTCCCCCCTCTATGCTTGCAAAATCTCTTTCCTTATTTAGTTTGTTTGTGTTGCATTTTACTTTTTGGTATAGACATAAAATGTTCTGTGTAGGAACCTCAAAGTCTCCCAGTGTGACTATGTGGACAACATCTTCTGGACATTGACTATCTAGTATTAAAAAACTCTAAAATTTTAACAGTAAATAAAAAACAACACTCAAACACAGGGGAACTCCAGACATGAAACAACCAGGGGCAGTGAATGATCTCTCAACAAAGGATTCCCCCAGGCAGTAACAAGGCACAGGAAAAACTGTCAGGCCATCAAATGCTAATCAAGGTGGCCAATTGAAACATTCACACCTAGCTCCAACAGACAAGAGATCTTTCTCTCACCCTGGACATTCCACAGATATATAAACTCCACTTGCCTAGTTTCCAACAGATCCCACAACCTCTGAGGATGCCTGCCATAGATGCAGGTGAAACGTCAGGAGAGGGAATACTTCTAGAATATGACTATACAGTCCGAAAAACCTACCAAACCCATTGTCTATCTAGTCATGCTGGAAGACCTAGAGAAGTGAACCTAAAGTGTATTGCATAAAATAATATGAAGTGTCATCTTCCTCTTCTGACTCATGGCATTCCTCCAGAGCAGTATATTCCCTTGTCATTCTCATTATGGCTTTCCCCATTAAGTTTGATTCATCTAATGTTGTTGGCAACTGTAAACTGCCTTGAGTCGCTTTCTGGCTGAGAAAGGTGGTTTATAAATACAGTAAATAATAATAACAATAATAATAATAATAATAATAATAATAATAATAATAATAATAATAATAATGTGTAATATCTGAATGGGAAGAATATTGTTTGAATGCACTCTGTTTACTCAATTCTCCCTAAAACTTCATGCACCCATTCATTCTACACAGATATACTGATATACAACAACCATGCCATAGAATCAAAGAGTTGGAAGAAACCTCATGGACGATCTAGCCCAATCCCATTCTGCCAAGAATCAGGAAAATAGCATTCAAAGCACCCCTGACAGATGGCCATCCAACCTCTGTTTAAAAGCCTCCAAAGAAGGAGCCTCCACCACACTCCAGGGCAGAGAATTCCACTGCTTAACAGCTCTCAGACTGGACATGTTCCTGGACTTCCCATAGAAATACAAAACTCCAGTTAAGAGCAAACTATTACAATCTTCCTTTTAACATGTCAGAAGCAACTTGAGAAACCGCGAGTCACTTCTGGCGTGAGAGAATTGGCTGCCTGCAGGGAATGCCCGGATGTTTTACTATCCTGTGGGAGGTTTCTCTCATGTCCCGCATGGGAAGCTGGAGCTGACAGACATGAGCTCACGCTGTCTTGCGAGCCTAGGTCAGCAGTTCAGCCAGCACAAGGGTTTAACCCGTTGTGTCACCATGGATGAATAGCATGGAGGCATTCTGAAAGACTTGGAAAATACCTAAAAAGAACATTTTTATAGATGTGGAGAATTGTAACTGTGGGTACCAGCAGATATGGGAGCCATACTGTTCCCCATTTAAATTGCCACAGCTTCATGATGGACCATGATTAATGTCTTCCAACTCATTCATTTTCTTCCTTCTGGCTGTTTTGTTTTAACTTCAGACCATCCATTATAAATGGTAGTGAATAAAGCTGGGCCTCTATCCTAGCTTATGCCTTGAAAGAATATTAAGTAATTGTGTGACTGGTTGATTTTGACACTTAATATCCTGGTATAGTTACCAAAATGTGCTCAACCAAGAAAACACGCCTGTTTTGAATACAGTGCTCTTGTTCTCTCTTTTCTCCCTTTCTCTTGAGCTAGTTTGGCATACATGAAATGCAAATATATTATGGGTTTTTAAATTTCTAGAGCTGGTAATAGTTTCATGTTTACATTTTGGAAGTTGTTTGGTTTGTCAAACTGTTCTGGATGTAGTACAGAGGTCTAAAGCAGGACAGGGAATTTTGCAAACTGGAAGCCACAGTTTCTCCCAACATCAATGGTTGAATTTAAAGGAGAGAGATCAGAATTACACATCTGGAAGTCTTTGGGTGACATGATTTTCCATACAGTTGCTCTCTACCCTACCTCCCATTCCTAAAAAATAGACCCAGAATAGTAATCTAAGAAACCCAAAGTGTCTTTGAGTGTCTTCCTTACCAAAAGATCTTTAAAATGTTTTTTTTTTCCTTTTGGAGGACATCTGGAGTTTATTTCAACAGCATGATGAATGTTGAACTAGATTGCCAATATTTATTTATCAAATCCTGAAAACAGTTGGCAATGTGATTGACACAAAGGCTATAGTTGAGAAAGCATACGATGTTCTTTTCTTATGTGCATAGTAAGCCTATAGTGTAGGTTAGGAGCCAATCCTGCAAGGGAACGGCATGGCCAGTAACCCAATAGCTACAACTTTTGGCAGCCTGATGCTGTGGATTTCTGCTCTCCATTTTGCTTTATTCTCAATGAGCTTGGGAGATTTCCTGCCACAAAACTCAGCATGCTTCCCAGCTGCTCAAAATCATTAACAGCAGGTTCCAATTTCAAACTATGAGCAAAACCTTATGCATGTCCGCTAAGAAACAAATCCCAACTAACAGGATATGTCTCTTACTCGTGAGTAATTTTGAACAACCACAGTCTCAATTTTGCTCTATTGAAAGGGAGCGCAGCTAAAAACACAAATGGCTGCCCAATTTGTACTCTTTTGAATGGCATTGGATGAGTCCCAGTTTGTTTGTGTGTTGTTGTTGTTGTTGTTTTGATCTTTCTCTTTTTTCATCTTTTAGATTGCAAACCTGTCACTTTATTAAAAACCTGAATATATGTAAGATGTTTTAGGAAGATTTTCAGCTGAAGAATAGGATAAAAGTTGCTGCTGCTAGACATAGTGGTATTAGTAGTAGTAACAATGGTGATGTGTCTTAATAACAGTGATAACTTACAATAGCAACACTAGTACATTTCAACTCTCATTTGCAGTGTCAGTATATAGAGCTCTGTATTTACAAAAAGATTCCCATTGTTTTGAAGAACTATCCACAGTTGTAAACTGTCATGGACTGGGGAAAAGACAAAATATATACATAGATAAATACTCTGCTAACATCTGATGGCTTTTAATATTTTTACAGTTGTTTGCCTGGTTTCTTTTGTCAGCATTTGTAATCTATTCCTGGAGAGTAGAGCAGTGTCTTTCTTTCCCCCACCCCCCCCTCTCTCTCTCTTTACTGCCTGCATTATCTTCTCCAGAAAACAGAATTTCCCCCTCCTGCAGAGAGAACTGGTGTATTTGCACGTACTTTTGTATTCCTTGTGGACAGAGTCTCCCTGCTCCCTTCATTTTGCAGTGAGATAGAGAGAGCGCTGTGATGAACTCAGGCAATAAATCCAGATAGGTTAAGCCCACTGAAAAAGCAAATAGTGCAGGGAAGAAAGAGCCATGAGTTCTGCGGGCTCAAAGAGGCACGGCACTTCTCAGATATCATGCAAGTGAGCTCTAGCACAGAAAAGAACGGCTGCTTTCCTCCTCCCTCTGCTATAAATTATAGATCACCTACTTGGCGACGCTTAGGAATGGAGGGGGGGGGATGAAATGGATGAGGATTGGTTGGACTGGGAAGCATTCCTGGTGGCTGGATTATTTCCAAGAGCGCTCCAGCGTCCAGTTGTTTAAATGCCAAAGCCCCACTCCAGTTTGGGTTTGCGCAACAGTGGCTTGTAATATCCCAGAGCACCTCCATAAATAGTCCTGTTCTCCCCACACCCAGGCAGAAAACAACCACAGGAAACCAAGGGACGTGCAGCCAGCCCAGCTTGGCTGGCACTCATTGATTTCCACCAACAGCCAGACTCACTAGAGAGCATTCACCTACCTTCATCGCTTAAGCTCTTCATCTTGTCGACTCTGGACTACTTCTAGGGGGACGGGTCAGTGGCCAGAGGTGTCTCCTTCCAAAATACTCTCAGTTGCTACATCAGCCTTTGCAACAGCGACACTTTGTGTGAGAGGGGCTGGCATTTTCACTTTGACTTTTCCAGTGACAGAATTTTTTTCCGGGGAAGGCAGGACTTTCACTGTGCCATCATCATTAGATTGGTAACTGGAGATTGTATCAACAACAACTTGCATTTTCGGAGAGACACAATTTCTGGGCTACTTGCTGACATTTTTAACCAAGGAGAAAGTTTTGGAGATGCTAAGTTTGGGGGCTCTTGGATGCTAAGTCACGTGTTGTTTTGCATTGATCTGCATAAAAGGAGAAACACCCTTGATTTTATGCAAGTATTTATAGCAGCATTTTCCCTCCTCTTTACTCTGAGCATTGCAAAATATATTTAGGAGGAGGGCATACCCTGTTTTTCACTTTTGGGGATTTATTTCAGTGTTTGACCATGAAGATCCAGGAGCATCCCAGCCTTCCCGAAACCAAATTACAAAGGAACCAAGACCCTGATGGCCAGGAAGAGACCTTTGTATCAGAAGTGCCTCGACTGGACTTGACCGCCTTATGCAGCGACAACAACAACTGGGAAGGTACGGTAGATTTGAACGTTGGCATGAGTGAAGCTGATGTGTTTCCTTTACTCTTTTCATGAACAATCTATAGCAATAGGAAACCTGTTTGGATGCAAAACCAAATATTGTACTGAAAAAATGTATTGGTGTCTTGCTGTCAGGATGGATGAAGATACACGGAACATTTCTGTCCTCTTGTTTGGTCTGTTTATTGTAGTTTTGAGGTGTTAACCCTATTGTATTGGCACTCTCATGTGGCGACCTAACTGCACCCCAAAGTGGCACAGTTTTGTGTCCATCTGTAAGGGGTTTCCCTCTGCCTTCTTATGATCTTATAATAAATCTTAGGGAGGGGGAGAAACCCTTTTTAATTTCCTACATTGAAATTCCTTTCCCATCAGATAGAAAATTCTAGGGTTTTTGTGTTTTGAGTCAGGCTTGTTTGATGGAGGATGTTTTTGTTTTTGATTCGAAGCTCATACATTGATTATGCTTCTAGCGATTTTGCTCTTTTCACCTTGGCAAGTCCAAGATGTTTTGCATTAGTCATTTTAATGGTTTTCATATGTTTGGGCACACAGATGTGCCTCCATCGTGCTAAAAAAGGCGGGGAGAGAAGAATCACTTTCACTTGCTTGCATTTATTAAAGCCACAAAATTGAAAAGCACATTTTTATTTTTGCATTCATGGGAAGCTTGTGGTAATGAACTGTGTTTTAGCAAAAGAGTCATTTTTGTGGCTTTGCTCTTGGGAATCTTTCCAGAGCTGAAATGGCAAAGGAAACAGAAGCCATCATGCCAAAATGCAGCGGCTAGCCTTGGAAACTGAATAGTTGGAAGGTATCAGATACATTCCAGAGGGTTTTTAAAAGGATATTTTAGAATCTTCTTCCCTTATTAATAATTAAGAGCTATAATTAAGGGTAGTTTATTATCAAGTCTCCCCATGAAGAGGAAGATAGAGAGATTGATTTGATCTTCACCCTGCAACATTGAGGCAAAACTGTAATACTTTTATGCAATATGGTACAGTACACTTGTCTTTCTATACAGAGAACTTCAGGAGACAATATCAATTTATATATGCATGCTATTTATGTATCAGTTCAGTATTTTAAAGCAGGGTCAGATCTAGTTGTTGAATGTTCAAACATGCAGTACAAGCAGCTGTGGCTGTTCTTGACAGAAGACAGCAGGTGACATGGTGTCCTTTATGCGTGTAGACTATTCAGTAGAGACTCTTCCTCAATGGAGTTCCTCCAACAGTCTTTCTGTCACGATATTCCTTTAATATTCTAATTCTCAGAAAATGGGACGGTTGTGTTTTTAAATCTTTTAAAGGTGACTGTAATGAAGGCTCCTTTTCCATTCCCTGTGGGTTCACCTATCAATGGGAGCCCCCAGTGGTGCAATGGGTTAAACCCTTGTGCCAGTAGGATTATGGACTGAAAGGTTGGTGGTTCGTATCTGGGGAGTGGGGTGAGCTCCCATCTCAGCTCTAGCTTCTCATGCAGGGACATGAGAGAAGTCTCCCACAGGATAGTAAAACATCAAAACATCCACGTGTTCCCTGGGTAATGTCCTTGCAGATGGCCAATTCTCTCATATCAGACGTGACTTGCAGTTTCTCAAGGTGCTCCTGACATGGAAAAAAAAAACCCCTGTCAATGTGCTTGAATAAAAACGTCTCCTTCTCATTTCTGAATTGTAGATATAATATTGATAGGGCTGAAGTGGGTGGGAGAGAAAAAAAAGCTATATGGTAAATTACTCTCAATTTACTTCATCTTTACCCATTTTGTTGCCCACTAAATCTGTTAAATGATAAGAAGATTGGTGGGCAGGTTTGGTGGGCACATGTTTTCCTACCTGGCCTTTCTCTCACTCCTAAAGGTTCCTTGGAGAAAAACAGAGGGTGGACAGGTTGACAGCTGCTCTAGAAACCCCCTGCAAGCCATTTCTTGATGTGGCATTTAGAGCAGCATAAGATACAGGACACTGTCACCCCCCCCCCCCATGAGTTGGTGGTATGGGCCCATTTAATCATGAATCATAGAATCAAAGAGTTGGAAGAGACCTCATGGGCCATCCAGTCCAACCCCCTGCCAAGAAGCAGGAATATTGCATTCAAATCACCCCTGACAGATGGCCACCCAGCCTCTGTTTAAAAGCTTCAAAAGAAGGAGCCTCCACCACACTCCGGGGCCGAGAGTTCCACTGCTGAATGGCTCTCACAGTCAGGAAGTTCTTCCTCATGTTCAGATGGAATCTCCTCTCTTGTAGTTTGAAGCCATTGTTCCGCGTCCTAGTCTCCAAGAAAGCAGAAAACAAGCTTGCTCCCTCCTCCCTGTGGCTTCCTCTCACATATTTATACATGGCGTATCTGTGCACAACAGGAATCTCAATTTTAAGCTACTGACACAGATAAAAGCCCTGGTGGTCTGCTCAAGAGATGATGTGACTTCCATTTCTCAGGTAGATTACCATCCCTACCATTCCATTGCCTATGCTATGTTTCAGTAGCTTAAAATCAAGATTCCAGTTATGCACAGGTACTCAAGATGCAACCACAAAATCTACCAGGTAGAGTTTCTTTCTTACTGGGCATGCATAGGGTTGTGCTAGACATCTCATGTTTGGAACTTGCTAATGAGCTTGAGCAACTGAGAAGGATGCTTTTATTTTGTGACTGGAAATCCCCCCCCCCCCAAAAAAAAATCCCTTTGAGGAAAATGCAAAATGGAAAGTAGAGATCCACAGCATCATGACTGGCCTTGCATACTAAACCAAAATTGTAGTTCCAAATTCTTAAGCTGCAGAGGGTCAAAGTGTCACTGTCCAGCTTCTAGGGATCATTGTTAACCCATCTCTGTATCTTTCAAGTTGAGAAGAAGGCACACTTGCAAGGGCAAGCAAGAATAGCTAAGACTCGTTTGAAACATCTTGGGACAACATACAGAATTCATATCTTAGCTTCATGGGAGGACCCTGGGCCCACCATTACATTTCTCGTAAAGCAGGAGATCTTAATCATTGGTTCTCCACATGATTTGAACTTCACCTCTCAGGGTTGTTCATGTATAGTTGGTCATGAAGGCTTTTTCTGGAAATTCAAGTCCAACACAATTAAAAGATCAGAGTTTGAGAAAGCCTTTTCTGCTCACTCCAAAACATACTGGTTCTCTAAACTTTCTAAGACAATCAAGTTTGCTGTGGCATTTGGAGTTATTGTCATGTTTTCCAGAAATTTATAATGTAGTTTGAGAATAATGTATGCTCATGATGAAGATGAGTTGTTGCAATCCTCCTTCTCCTCCTCTTCCTTAAATTAATCTACACCAACCTTTTCCAGGAGTGCTGGGTATAACCCAATCCCTGGGTTGTTTTCATTCCTTGGGTTAGTCACATGTGTGGTCCCAGCCAGTCAGGGCTCACATTTTGTATGTGATGATCTTGTCAATGTAGCCAACTGACCAACTACATTGATTGATCTGTTCTATGATGCTGTGGAGGATAAACAAGAGAAGTTTAGCTTTAAAAGTGGACATTTTTATATAACGAATGAGAAAAAAACATGTCAAGTTGTGGCATTTGGGTGTTGCTACAAACATTTCTGAAAAACTGTAAGAAGATGCTTTGTTTTCCGTTATGAGTTGGAAATAAGACAATGTTTATAGTTCTGAAATAAGCCACATCAGCCTCTTGTATTTAGAGAGGAAAGCACACAGTAGGAATTTAGAAGTTTTAATGCCTCCTAAGCAGCCATCATTTGTCACTTTTTTGGATTATTTAATTAAGTAGATTGACACTTTAATATGCACCTACGCAGTTGAAGAGGAACATGGAGAACAGATGGTTTGGGCATGTGGTAAGCTTCAGTTTTAACTTTCTGAACAATCAGTCTTTGCAGATCTGAAGTGCGAAATCCATGCCTATCCTATCCCATTACTTTTTAAAATAAACCCCCCAGAACTAAATTGAAGATGGTTTGAATGCCTGTTCCTATATTAACATGCTTTGGCTGTCAGATCACTTCACATACACACCAGTAACATCTGTGAGGTTGGAAATGTATAAAGCTGGCAAGCTCTTTTCTGTGGTAGCCCCATCATTACAAAGGATCCTGCCACAGACCTTCAAGGACCTATACATTTTAGTCTGCTTTTTGACTCGTATGCAGCACTTCAAGACATTTAAGTTCAGAATCACATTTTGTTGGAGAATCCACACAGGCATTATTAAACAAACAGCTGTTAACCAGTTCTCCAAATTTCAGACACTTGCCATTGGCATTTACCAAATAACAACCAGAACAGTTGTATCCTTTCTCAAAATAATTTAATTTTCTTACACATGTAGTTTTATACAAGGGGTACTGCTCAGATATACTGCCAGGATTCCTAGAACTTGTACAACTGAAACTGTTCAATGTCTAAGATGGGTATTCATTCTGACAACATTATTGAGAAAAGTTGGCAACATATTACAGTTTTTCAGACATCTGAAAACTTGACATTTGACTTCCACAAGATCAAAGCTAAACACTGTTTCCTAATCAGGAAAAGCATTATTTTAAAGCTCTTGTAAGATTTTTTGTAGCTATTCTGCTTTTCCAAGAAGTTCTCCTTTTTGAAAGCAGTTGTTGACTCCAGAATTCCTTTTAAGAATTACAAGTTCAAAGCTATAAAACTTAAACCATCTAATCCCACAGAGCTAAGTAGGAGCATGCAAACCAGCTTAGTAAACTATCCAACGGCAGAATAGTAGGGTCCTCGTGGGATCGAGTGGGAATGGTCACAAGGTGAGACTGTGGATATGTTCCAATATGTTGGCCACCATCAACTCTGTCCAAACACACAATGCTTTGTATTTTAAACTTGGCCAATTAATCCATCCAGCAAATTTAAGCTACCTCATGCTTTGCAGTGCAAGTCTGAGATGGTAGCTTTTGGTATCCGCTGTTTGAACTTGGAATTAGTTGAATTTGAATATTTATTCGGTTACTTCCAGGTCTCTCC